AAAATATTAGTAAAATAAAAAAAAATTAAAATGTATACAAAAGCATATGTAAAAGCTCTACTGAAGTCAAATTTTCTCTTAGTTAAAATGTCCAAAACAACTGGAGTATTTTGAATTCTAAAAAACCATAAAATCAAACAAGAATTTGAATCACTCCAAACTTAGAAAGACAATTTTGACATTCTTATTTTTCATATTTTACGAAAATACGGTGTTTGAATGGGAGACTTGAAAACCGAAAATTTTCAACTAAACGAGCTCTAATTTTTTTTATATATATATTTTTTTTAATCAGGAAGAGAAAATTATTGACATCTTGTATGGTGTACTGTGAAATCTGGGTATAAAATAACACTAATAACTGGAATTTTTGATGATATTTTGCTCTCAGAGTACGTACTCAAAGCATGAAAATCGAAATTTCCTACTACAATTATGAAAAAAAAAATGTTAATTTTCAAATTAAAACTGCCAATTGCGATTGTAAAATGATAAATTGTTTCCTTTTTTTTGACACAAACAGGCAAAAATTCAAAATCCACACATTGTTGTTGGTTTATTTTGATAACAATTTTAAATTTCTTATTAAATATATTTTCCAAAATACCGCTAAAATAAAACTATATGAAAATATTTTGAAAACAATTTCTACTTTTTATAACAACTGGAACTTCAGTGGTGTGTTGTACACGTATTTTAACATAAATTTATAGAAAATATTAGTAAAATAAAAAAAAATTAAAGTGTTTACAAAAGTATATGTAAAAGCTCTACTGAAGTCAAATTTTCTCTCAGTTAAAATGTCCAAAACAACTGGAGTATTTTGAAATCTAAAAAACCATAAAATCAAACAAGAACTTGAATCACTCCAAACTTAGAAAGACAATTTTCACATTCTTATTTTTCATATTTTAACGAAAATACGATGTTTGAATGGAAGACTTGAAAACCCGAAATTTTCAACTAAACGAGCACTAATTTTTTTTATATATTTTTTTTTAATGAGGAAGAGAAAATTATTGACATCCTGTATGGTGTACTGTGAAGTCTGGGTATAAAATAACACTAATAATTGAAATTTTTGATGATATTTTGCTCTCAGAGTACGTACTCAAAGCATGAAAATCGAAATTTCCTATTACAATTATGAAAAAAAAAAGTTAATTTTCAAATTAAAACTGCCAATTGCGATTGTAAAATAATAACTTGTTTCCTTTTTTTTGACACAAACAGGCAAAAATTCAAAATCCACACATTGTTGTTGGTTTATTTTGATAACAATTTTAAATTTATTATTAAATATATTTTCCAAAATACCGCTAAAATAAAACTATATGAAAATATTTTGAAAACAATTTCAACTTTTTATAACAACTGGAACTTCAGTGGTGTGTTGTACACGTATTTTAACATAAATTTATAGAAAATACTAGTAAAATAAAAAAATTTAAAGTGCATACAGAAGCATATGTATAAAAGCTCTACTGAAGTCAAATTTTCTCTTAGTTAAAATATCCAAAACAACTGGAGTATTTTGAAATCTAAAAAACCATAAAATCAAACAAGAACTTGAATCACTCCAAACTTAGAAAGACAATTTTGACATTCTTATTTTTCATATTTTACGAAAATACGGTGTTTGTATAGGAGACTTGAAAACCCAAAATTTTCAACTAAACGAGCACTAATTTTTTTTATATATTTTTTTTTAATGAGGAAGAGAAAATTATTGACATCCTGTATGGTGTACTGTGAAGTCTGGGTATAAAATAACACTAATAATTGGAATTTTTGATGATATTTTGCTCTCAGAGTACGTACTCAAAGCATGAAAATCGAAATTTCCTATTATAATTACGAAAAAAAAAATGTTAATTTTCAAATTAAAACTGCCAATTGCGATTGTAAAATGATAACTTGTTTCCTTTTTTTTACACAAACAGGCACAAATTCAAAATCCACACAGTGTTGTTGGTTTATTTTGATAACAATTTTAAATTTATTATTAAATATATTTTCCAAAATACCGCTAAAATAAAAATATATGAAAATATTTTGAAAACAATTTCTACTTTTTATAACAACTGGAACTTCAGTGGTGTGTTCTACACGTATTTTAACATAAATTTATAGAAAATATTACTAAAATAAAAAAAATTAAAATGTCTAGAAAAGCATATGTAAAAGCTCTACTGAAGTCAAATTTTCTCTTAGTTAAAATGTCCAAAACAACTGGAGTAGTTTGAAATATAAAAAACCATAAAATCAAACAAGAACTTGAATCACTCCAAACTTAGAAAGACAATTTTGACATTCTTATTTTTCATATTTTACGAAAATACGGTGTTTGAATGAGAGACTTTAAACCCAAAATTTTCAACTAAACGAGCACTATTTTTTTTATATATTTTTTTTTGAATGAGGAAGAGAAAATTATTGACATCCTGTATGGTGTACTGTGAAGTCTGGGTATAAAATAGCACTAATAATTGACATTTTTGCTGATATTGTGCTCTCAGAATATGTACTCAAAGTATGAAAATCGAAATTTCCTTCTACTATTATGAAAAAAAAAATGTTAATTTTCAAATTAAAACTGCCAATTGCGATTGTAAAATGATAACTTGTTTCCTTTTTTTTTGACACAAACAGGCAAAAATTCAAAATCCACACATTGTTGTTGGTTTATTTTGATAACAATTTTAAATTTATTATTAAATATATTTTCCAAAATACCGCTAAAATAAAACTATATGAAAATATTTTGAAAACAATTTCTACTTTTTATAACAACTGGAACTTCAGTGGTGTGTTGTACACGTATTTTAACATAAATTTATAGAAAATATTAGTAAAATAAAAAAATTTAAAGTGTATACAAAAGCATTTGTAAAAGCTCTACTGAAGTCAAATTTTCTCTCAGTTAAAATGTCCAAAACAACTGGAGTGTTTTGAAATCTAAAAAACCATAAAATCAAACAAGAACTTGAATCACTCTAAACTTAGAAAGACAATTTTGACGTTCTTATTTTTCATATTTTACGAAAATACGGTGTTTGAATTGGAGACTTGAAAACCCAAAATTTTCAACTAAACGAGCATTATTTTTTTATATATATATTTTTTTTAATGAGGAAGAGAAAATTCTTGACACCCTGTACGGTGTACTGTGAAGTCTGGGTATAAAATAATACTAATATTTGGCATTTTTGCTGATATTTTGCTCTCACAATACGTACTCAAAGCATGAAAATCGAAATTTCCTACTACAATTATGAAAAAAAAAAAATGTTAATTTTCAAATTAAAACTGCCAATTGCGATTGTAAAATGATAACTTGTTTCCTTTTTTTGACATAAACAGGCAAAAATTCAAAATCCACACATTGTTGTTGATTTATTTTGATAACAATTTTAAATTTATTATCAAATGTATTTTCCAAAATACCGCAAAAATAAAACTATATGAAAATATTTTGAAAACAATTTCTACTTTTTATAACAACTGGAACTTCAGTGGTGTGTTGTACACGTATTTTAACATAAATTTATAGAAAAAATTGGTAAAATAAAAAAATTTAAAGTGCGTACAAAAGCATATGTAAAAGCTCTACTGAAGTCAAATTTTCTCTCAGTTAAAATGTCCAAAACAACGGGAGTGTTTTGAAATCTAAAAAACCATAAAATCAAACTAGAACTTGAATCACTCCAAACTTAGAAAGACAATTCTGACATTCTTATTTTTCATATTTTACGAAAATACGGTGTTTGAATGGGAGACTTGAAAACCCAAAATTTTCAACTAAACAAGCACTCAATTTTTTTTTATTTTTTTTTTTTTTTTTTAATGAGGAAGAGAAAATTATTGACATCCTGTATGGTGTACTGTTAAGTCTGGGTATAAAATAACACTAATAATTGGCATTGGTACTTTGAAAATATTTACCATTTTTTCTAAAAACTAGTGTTTCCTTGGTATATTCTATACGTATTCTAACAGAAATTTCCTCAAATTAGTAGTAAAATAAAAAAATTTAAAGTGTATCCAAAAGCATTTGTAAAAATTCTGTTGAAGTCAAATTTTGTCTTAGTTAAAACAATAATTGAAATATTTTGAAATGTGAATTTTGACATTCTTATTTTTCACATTTTCGGGAAATACTATATTTGAATGAAAAATTGTAGAATAGACAATTTTCAGCTAAACAGACGCTAATTTTTTAGAAAGATATTTAAAAATGAGAAATTAAACACTATTCACATTTCATATCGTGTAGTATGAACAGTGGGAATAATATACTATCATGAGTTGGAATTTTTGTACATATTTTGTCCTTAATACACTTACTAGAAACATAAAAATCGCAGTTATATTCCACTATAATAAAAGCAAAATGTTAAATTGTTTTCACTTAAGAATGATAAACCAGTTTTATTGTCATTATCGCTGATACGTAGTTAAAACAGGATATTCTTGTTAGTAAACAACATTTAACGATTGATTAATTAACTTATTCTGAAAAAAATTGTGTAATTGTTACGATGTATTTTTATACGTTTAAAAATTAAAAACAAACTTCCAAAACACAGTCTATTACATTCCAAACGCTAGCACACGTTTTTATGTATTTTAAAACAATGTGAATTTGGTAAATCTCATTTTAACAGTTTTTTGGCTTTTCGCAGCTTGTAGAATACGAAAATGCCGATCGCGATTGTGTTAATCTGTCATCGATCGTCCACAAATTGTAATAAATTTGATTCAAAATATGAAAAAAATCGCCTATTTATTCTCTCCGTAAAGCAGCTGACGTTATTCCAGGACATTAAAATAAAACGTCAAATTTACTCAGTTCTGAGTGTTTACTCAGTAAAACCCCGCGCTTGCGCAGCTCACAATCACTCCAAAAATCCGTCTTTAAATTTTCCAAGTACAAAACCTCACTCCGAAATCCGCCATTTCCCGCCCCCACGCCCCATATCCATAAAAAAATCACTCACCACCCGCCCCCCATGTCGTCGCTCTTGCCGCCGCCGAGTCTGCCGAAAGCTCCAAAATCGGGCATGCCCCACAAAGGCGCTCACTAAACACTCGGTACGACGTGTCGGTGTCGACTGGCCATCATCTGGCAAAAAGAGCAAAAAAACGGATTTTCGAAAAGGAAGCAAAACGACGCTGGACTCACCACAGAATGCAGCAGCATCAGGCAAACGACGTCAGGTCCGGGGAACGTGTGGTCCCCGGAGTGTTCCGGGAAGACGTTTTGGCGCCGTCTCCACGCCGCCCTCGCCATTGGAGCCCTGCCACAGTATCAGCTCTGACGTCTATCCGTTACTGTATGCCCCGAAACGCGGCCGCCAACCAGCGGCCGGGGGCGGGACCTGCCGCCAGATTACACATTGTTTCAATCGGGACAGTGCAAAAAAAATTGCACTTTCGGGATATTGTCGGCCATTTTGGAAATCACAAACGATTGTTTTCGAGATCTTATTAACTGATTTTGCTGACTGGGTATAACTATTAATATCGGGGGCGGCGGAGGCGGGGGCGGGTGGAATTTGGAAAAGAAAATCGGGGGAGGGTGCGAGGGGGTGGCGAGGGGGCTCATTAGGTGTACTGATTATTGAAACTTATAAAAATAATAAAACGTATCTATAATTAGGGTTCTAATTGGCAGCACACAGAGCTAAAATGTGTAAAATTGACTTTAAAAATTTTATAAAAAGAAATAACAACAAAAATGAGGATTTTTAAACAAGTATTTAAGACGTTCACAAACTATTTAAAAAGAATATTCCTACTCTCTAGAATATCTATAACAAGCAATCAAATGAGGACTAATTTTCAATGTAAAATAATGAATATAAGTGTTGGTTTAACGGTTTTTCAGACATAAATTTCAGGTTGTGTATTAATTGTCTTTTAAATTTTAGTTAATGTGCCAATTGATAACTGCACAATAAATTAGAATATTAAAATAATTTCACAAAATTTGTAAAGAATTTTTAAAATTCCGTCGCTTTTAGTTCGTTGTTTGAGCTTATTAAACTTTAAATCGGATAAATACATGGTATAATAATATAATTATTAATAATAATTCATAATACTTAGTAATAATATCACGGTGTTCTAAGAGATAAACATGAAATCTGCATTTTTAATGCCATTAAATGAATGTTGAACTTTTACCAAAATTTTACTCTTTCCTGTATGTTCTAAAACAAATTGTAGAATATAGAATTCTTTATTAAAAAAATGTATAACTTTGCTAGTAATTCCAATCTAATAATTTTAAGGTACATTTAAGATTTCAAGGGAATTAGTTCTGTACTTTCGGAGATTTTTTATCTAAAATAATCGGCAACAGACAGGCAGACAGACAGACAAACAGACAGAAAAATAGTCGGACAACCCAAATAGGAACCAATTTAAAATAAACAAAATTAAACTACTTTTCTCATTATTAAACTTAAGGAAATTGATTCGTTAACAGCGATTTTTCAGGATTCTACTTTGTGAAAATTTGCCTGATTTTCTTATTACTTTGTTTAGTAAAACAGAATCCAACAAGCTTTCTGGTGTAACAAAAACTTTATGTAAACAGAGAAATGATGCAAATGGTCTCTTAGTTGTTGAGGATTTTAAAAACAGTGTATGATAATTCATGGTAATAAAATTAGAATTAAGAAAAGTTTTCTTTCCAACTAAATTATTCCTCAACAATCTACACCTGAAATAGTGTTGTTAATGCTATAATTTTCTTTAATGCACTCTAGATCTGCAATACAGACTTTTCAAAAAAACTAAATAACGTTTGCAAAAATGTAAAAATCAAAAATACTTTTCCAAAAGCTCAAATTTTCAGCCTTTTTTCAACCACCTTTGAAATTTACCTACAGCAATTTTTATGTAGATTACGATCTCTACATTCTATTTTAGACTTGATTTTTTTGGAAATTTCTACCATTTTTCCAGAATTATCCCTTTGAAAAGTGACAATTTTCACAATTAAAAAATATGTATTTTCAAGCTGAATATTTCGAAAATCGAGATGATGTACAAGATATGTTTTTCGGTTCAGCTGATGGAGATCTCTCATTTTCCAGAAGTTTTTGTAGATGTTTGGGCAACTTTCTCCAAAGCTTAATTTTGTATGCTTCCTCCTTATGAAAATTTCAATTTTTCTTAAATCTCCTTCGAAAATTAACTAAAGACATTTTTCTGTAGATTAGGGCCTCTAGAATTTATTTTCGGCTTCATTTCTAGAAAGATTCATCCTATTTTTCCTAAATTCCCTATTTGAAATATGGCAATCTTCATAATTTAAAAAATATATATTTTCAAACCCAATATTTCGAAAATCTTGATCCGGGACCATAAAAACGATAAGTGTTTCGATTCAGCTGGTCAAAATCTATCATCTCCTGGAATTTTTTGTACATTTTTGGACAACTTTTCCCAAATCTCAATTTTTCTGTGTTTCGATTCAGCTGATGGAAATCTCTCATGTCCCAGAATTTTTTGTAGAAGTTTGGACAAGTTTTTCCAAAGCTCAAGTTTTTATACTCCCTCCTTATGAAAATTTCAATATTTTTCAATCACCTTCAAAAATTAGCTAAAGACATTTTTCTGTAGATTAGGGCTTCTAGAATTTATTTTCGGCTTCATTTCTAGAAAGATTCATCCTATTTTTCCTAAATTCCCTATTTGATATATGGCAATCTTCATAAATTAAAAAATATATATTTTCAAACCCAATATTTCGAAAATCTTGATACGGGACCATAAAAAGGATAAGTTTTTCGATTCAGCTGGTCAAAATCTATCATCTCCTGGAATTTTTTGTAGATTTTTGGACAACTTTTCCCAAAGCTCAATTTTTCTATGTTTCGATTCAGCTGATGGAAATCTCTCATGTCCCAGAATTTTTTGTAGAAGTTTGGGCAAGTTTTTCCAAAGCTCAAGTTTTTATGCTCCCTCCTTATGAAAATTTCAATCTTTTTCAGTCACCTTCAAAAATTAGCTAAAGACATTTTTCAGTAGGTTAGGGCCTCTACAATTTATTTTCGGCTTCATTTCTGGGAAGATTCCTTCCATTTTTCCTAAGTTCCCTATTTGAAATATGGTAATCTTCATAATTTAAAAAATATATATTTTCAAACCCAGTATTTTGAAAATTTTGATCCGGGACCATAAAAACGATAAGTTTTTCGAGTCAGCTGGTCAAAATCTATCATCTCCTGGAATTTTTTGTAGATTTTTGGACAACTTTTCCCAAAGCTCAATTTTTCTGTTTCGATTCAGCTGATGGAAATCTCTCTTGTCCCAGAATTTTTTGTAGAATTTTGGGCAAGTTTTTCCAAAGCTCAATTTTTCCTGCTTCCTCCTTACGAGATCAAAAATTTCCTAAAGACATTATTCTATAGATTAGACCCTCTACAATTTATTTCCGGTTCATTTCTAGGAAGCTTCCTCCCATTTTTCCATAATTACCCATTTGAAATATGACAATCTTCATAATTAAAAAAAAATATATTTTCAAACCGAATATTTCGAAAATCTTAATCCGGGATCATAAACACGATAAGCTTTTCGTTTTAATTGATCAAAATCTATCGTCTCCCGAAATTTTTTTTATAAATTATTGCACAACTTTTCCCAAAGCTCAATTTTTCTCTGCTCCCTATGTATGAAATTTACAAATTTTTTCAGCGATCCTCGAAAATTATCCAAAAACAGTTTTCTACGGAATATGACATCTAAAATTTATTCTCGGTTTCATTTCTTCGAAAATCCATACCATTTTTGCCAAATTGTCCAATTAAAATATGACAATTTTTACAATTAAAAAAAATATATTTTCAAACCGAATATCTCGAAAATCTTGATCAACGATAAGTTTCTCGATTCAGCTTGTCGAAATCTATCATCTCCCGGATTTTATTTTATTTCTTTTGATTTTTGGGCAACTTTTTCCAATGTTCAATTTTTTCTATGTTTCCTCGTTATGAAATTTTCAAGCTTTTTTCAACCAGCTTCAAAAATTACCAAAAGACATTATTCCATAGATTAGAGCCTCTACAATTTGTTTCCGGTTCATTTCTAGGAAGCTTCCTCCCAGTTTTCCATAATTCCCCATTTGAAATATGACAATCTTCATAATTAAAAAAAAAAAATATTTTCAAACCGAATATTTCGAAAATCTTAATCCGGGATCATAAACACGATAAGCTTTTCGTTTTAGCTGGTCAAAATATATCACCTCCCGAAAGTTTTTTATAAATTTTTGGGCAACTTTTCCCAAAGCTCAATTTTTCTCTGCTCCCTAATTATGAAATTTACAATCTTTTTTCAACGCTCTTCGAAAATTATCCAAAACAGTTTTCTGCGGAATGTAACATCTATAATTTATTCTCGGCTTCATTTCTTCGAAAATCCATACCATTTTTGCCAAGTTGCCCATTTAAAATATGGCAATTTTTACAATTAAAAAAATATATTTTCAAACCGAATATTTCGAAAATCTTGATCAACGATAAGTTTCTCGACTCAGCTTGTCGGGAACTTGCATCTCCCGGGTTTTCTTTTTTTTATTATTGGGCAACTTTTTCAAAGCTCAACTTTTCCTATGCTCCTTCGTTATAAGATTTTCAACTTTTTTTAACCATCTTCATAAATTACCTAAAGACATTTTTCTGTAGATTATGATATCTATAATTTATTTTAGGCTTTATTTCTTCGAAAATTCCTGCAATTTTTCTAGAATTGCCCATTTGAAAATTCACAATTTTCTCAATAAAAAAATTCAAAGTAGACATTTCGAAAATGTTGATTCGGGACAATAAGCACGATGTTTTTCAATTCAGGATCGAAATCTGTCACTTCCCAGAATTTTTTGTAGATTTTTGGGCAACTTTTCCCAAAGCTCAATATCTCTATGCTCTCTACTTATGAAATTTCCATCTTTTTCAACCGCCTTTAAAAATGATCTAAAGACATTTTGCTGTAGAATACGAACTCTACAATTTATTATCTGCTTCATTTTTATCAAAATTTCTACCATTTTTCCAGAATTGCCCATTTGAAATACGGCAATCTTAACAATTAAAAAAAATATATTTTCAAACCGAATATTTCGAAAATCTTGACCCGGGACCATCAACATGATAGGGTTTTCGATTCATCTTGTCAAGATCTATCTCCCGTGTTTTTATTTATTTTATTTTTTTGGCAACTTTCTTCAAAGCTCAATTTTTCCTATGCTCTTTCTTTATGAGATTTTCAATTTTTTT